TGTTCCCGTTACTCCACGAACCGTGTTCTTATGACCCCACGGATCATGGTCACACGACCTTGTGGCTTCCGTTGGCCCACTCTTTCACTGTGGTTACGTGGTTAATGTGGCGCAACGGACGATGGTCACGTGACCCCCGTAAATTATCGTCACGTGACCATGTCACCAACAATGGTGCAATATTTCTCATACGGGCGCTGTGCTTTTTATTCTTTGGTAGGAGCGCGCTTTACTTGTGCTATGGCACGATTTTTTTTTCAAGGTATTTCTTTGTATTCTCGTTGTGAGCACGTGCTGTCGGCATCGGGTACTACAAGAGACGTCATCACCCCGATTAAAGCGGAGATGAAGGCACCTAGTTCGCATTTATAATCTCAAGGAAGCTTCCGGAGTGTTAAAAGGCAAAGCAGTAGGCAAAAAGTGCGAGTTAGGCTACTTGTCGCCTTTTTGCCGACTAAATTATACAGTGCTTTTTTCATAAGGTCAGGAAATTAGAAGAAATTTCATGAGGAGGTAAAATTTCCACGTGGCATGTAGCTGGGCATGTCTACTATCATTCTCCGGCAAAAAAATTTTAATATTAATAAATATTATTTTCCTGCAATTTTTTATATCTCGCCCCTCCCACAAAAAAAAATCGCATCTGTCGCTCTGGGAACTATGCCAGATAATTTTTCCGCCCAGTTGCCCCTGGCTGAGGAAGCCACAAAAATTGATAAGGAGATTTAATTTACATCTTTCACGTATCTCGGTATGTCTAGTATCATATTCCAGGAGGGTAGTTTGATAATAGTAATAATTATTTTTTTGTTTTTTTTTATCTGATTACATGCACAAAAAAGCGCGTCTCATCGCTGTGGAGAGTATGACTGAACGTTTTTTGGCTATTCCGCCTGGCTCAGGAAGCCACAGACAACGCCTGAGAATATTGAATTTTCGTTTAGAATGTAGCTGGTTACGCCTAGTATCATATTCGAGGAGAGCATTTTGATATTTATACTAATTATTTTTCTGTATTTTTCTAAATTCCCGTCCCTGGCACCGAAAACCGCGTCTTTTCGCTCTGGAGACTAAGTCCCAACGTTTTTCTTGGCAGTTCCGCCCGGCTCGGGAAGCCACAAACATCGCCTGAGAATATCGAATTTTCGTTTAGAATGTAGCTGGGTATTTCCAGTATCATATTCGAGGAGAGCATTTTGATATTTATACTAATTATTTTTCTGTATTTTTCTAAATTCCCGTCCCTGGCACCGAAAACCGCGTCTTTTCGCTCTGGAGACTAAGTCCCAACGTTTTTCTTGGCAGTTCCTTCCGGCTCGGGAAGCCACAAACATCGCCTGAGAATATCGAATTTTCGTTTAGAATGTAGCTGGGTATGTCCAGTATCATATTCGAGGAGAGCATTTTGATATTTATACTAATTATTTTTCTGTATTTTTCTAAATTCCCGTCCCTGGCACCGAAAACCGCGTCTTTTCGCTCTGGAGACTAAGTCCCAACGTTTTTCTTGGCAGTTCCTTCCGGCTCGGGAAGCCACAAACATCGCCTAAGAATATCGAATTTTCGTTTAGAATGTAGCTGGGTATTTCCAGTGTCATAATCGAGGAGAGCATTTTGATATTTATACTAATTATTTTTCTGTATTTTTCTAAATTCCCGTCCCTGGCACCGAAAACCGCGTCTTTTCGCTCTGGAGATTGAAGCCCAAATGTCCCTGGGGCAGCTGCGCCTGGTTCAGGAAAGCACAAAATTGCCTGAGGAGGTCCAGTCTCCACTATGGATACATAATGCTAGTCTGGGAGAGTATTTTTATATGTCATCTAATGCTGTTTTAGTGAGCTTTTAATTATTTCGCTCATTATAAATCTGACAATCTGGCGTGAACTAACCGCATGACCTGAAGCAGTTCCATGCCAAATTATGCAATTTTCAGTATCTCTTATTACACAAGGCCCGGGAAATTCGACTACCATCGAAAATCCCGGGCCCTCAGGCAATGATATACTTCAGGACTCTCGGGAGTTCGCACCCAGTTTTTTTTTTCTAAGGTTCCACCAAGACTTAAACATTACTATGGACATCTTATTTTATCTACCTGAGTTTTTTTTTGCATTCGGTGGCGGTTGTGTATCACAATGCCGAAATAATTATCTGTAGAAGGTGAGGAAGAACCCCGGTGGGGAGATGATGTTTCATGTTTTACAAAGTAAAGACTGTGTCACAGGATTGACTGATATCTCCACCAGACGACTATACATATGCCGCCAAATGAGCTAGTCCAGACCTCATCGAAGAACCGACGGAGCGCGACATTTCTCATGTCGAGCTGCTCCCTAGGCCGTACACCCACGCTAAGTGCGTGTACAGTCGCTCGCAATATGAAGGACCCATTCGCCTATGCAATTTATGGGGCGGCGCTTATTCCACTTTGGCCAGGCGCACTTTATTTTGAGCGACAAGAAAGATAAAAGTTCATTTTATTCTTTCACGTCAAGAAATATCGTCCAGGCATAGGCAAATCCAAAACAGCCTCAAACTGCCTGGTCGAATGGGTCCTTCATATTGCGGGAGACTGTACATTCAGCTACAAAAACTGTAAGGAGGGAAAGTACGCGAGCGAGCTGGCTAGGAAACATCATTGAAAGAAAACCTGAGACTAGGACAAATAAAAATTGGGGGGACACTTAGGCTCCGCCTTTAAGGGATACTACAACGAAATTTCGGCGCTCATTTTTTGGTCTATATGTGTTCAAAAAAGCACCATCAAATCGAACATACCAATATCTTGTTAAAAAAGTCACGGAAAGGAATTTTAAAACGAATTAAACGATTAGCAAAGAGCACCTGGTGGATGTCGCTAACGCCTCGCTTGTAATGCCCGTCTAGCAACCTTGGCAGCTAGTGACGGAGGTTGTCTCGCCTCCGGCCACGACGAGAGAAGAGGGGCAGGAGGACCTCCCCTCTTCCCGAGAATGCCTTTTGTGTGTCACAGAAGTCGCTATTGTCCCCCTACAAGATTATAGAAGATTAAACCGTCACTCAAAATTTGTACAAAAGCAGCCGCTTCGGTGGCTGGAACGACTAGGCCATCCTCTCGACGT